ATCGGAGAGCTGGGGATCATTTTCCGCTCTGGGCCGCCTGAGGGGCTGAGGCTGTGCTCACCATCGGGGGAGGCGTACGGCTAAAACGCAGCCGGTCGTCATTGGCGCTGTAGCTCAGGTTGATGAAGGTTGAGCTCGCTGAGGACGAACTGAAGCTGTCACTGAGGTCGTCACTGGAGCTGAAGGTGCTGTTGTGACAGTCGCTATCCATTGTCTTCCTGCCACGTTGTACCTCGTCTCCGTCCATCTCCACCGTGATTATGGGTGGAGGGGCGAGCTTTGCGGACGTAGGTGTGGTGGTAGCAGAGGCAGTGGTGTTTTTTGCAGGCTGATCAGGGGGTTGTTCAGACAGGATGTTGAGAGAGTGCGTTCTCTGCCTGCTGCCTGGTTGGAGCAGGTGGGGTGAGGAGGACTTGACAGGTGGTTGCACCAGGTTTCCTTGTGAGCGGCTGAGGTGGTGGGACTGCTGTTCCAGGCTCAGGGAGGGCTTGCAATGATTTCGATGGCGGGCGGCCATGCTGATATGAGGGTAGTTGTAGGGCTGTAGGTACATGGTGGGGACGTAGCCTGTTTTACCGTTGTATCTGTTAAAAACAAAACAAAGACAAGAATGTGAGGTTAAAAATCTGGATTGGTTTGAGTGTCCATATGTAAGAAGAGTATGTCCTTGGGTGCTTTCACATTTTGCCTTCTAACAAATGTGCTGTAAACAATGCAAAAAACTTTTTCTTTTGTCCTCACCTGCTATTAACAAATGGAAGAAATCAAATGAATGGCATCCAGGCCATCCAAGTGTTTTACATCAAGATAAGAACTTTGTTACAGGCGGAGTGCTTCAGGAACTTGCTTTTAAAGGAATGTGCAGTCAACATGAGCACAAACACTTCATTCTTAGTCTGTCCTGACGGATCTGACTGGGCAGTGACTGAGCCTGACATATGGGTCCTTATTTACCTTATTACCCCATTATGCTGCCTTTCTTTCTATCCTCATCTATCCTGTACATCACAAACCTCCCATTTATCTGCCTTTTTGACCGTCACGGAGGTCTCAGTGGCGTGATGTTAAAAAGTTCAGCCAAAGCCAATGTGTTAAATACCTGATGAGCCACCAGCCGTTATCAGACTGCTGGAGGAGCTCCACAACTGCACCGATGGCTATGGTTATCTCGTCATCTGTGGTGGACTTGTAGCTCTTGACTGCAGTGTACAGCATTCCTGAGAGTAAAATGAAACAATTTTAATAGTCTACATAATGTCATAGCATCTTGATTGACATTAACCCCCTCAAAGCCCTGTATGCACTCTGCATGCTTATGCAAATAAGCCAAGTGTTGATAGAAACTGTACCTCTTTCAGAAGTCCCGTCTATTTCATCTTCATCTCTATCATCATCATCATCATCATCATCATCATCTAGCTTCTCCAGGTAAGGGCGGGGAACCAGGCCATCCGCTTGTCCTCATTCTCCACAAGCCACCACCCTGAACCAACGCAAACACACACATTTAACTCCGGGTTCGTGGGGTCTGTAGGCCTGCAACTGGACAAACAGGACCCTGAAGCTCGCTCACCTGCTTTGTCTTTGATGAGCACGTCCACTTGTTCGTCAATTTTCACTTTGAAAGGTTTGTTCTGGTGTCTTTCGTCTCGTACGGGGCCACGCATCTGTACGTCTCTGTGACAAACGGCTGGGTCACGTTCCCACCCTTGGCGTGACGCGCATCGGTGCTGTCGTCGTCTGATGGCATGATCATGACGCTGAAGAGGAGAGCAGCGGGTAAATTAGGAGGAAAATCCAGAAAAACAGAGCAGCTTGTGCAGGAGACCTATTATCAATAGATGTTATAGAATCTGTTCTATAAGGCTAATTAGGGGTAAATTGATTCACAGTTTTTGCCCCAAACTCTAAAATGTCAAAATCTTGTCCACGGAGTGCACCCTTAAACAAAGGCATGGTATTTTAATAGGCCTAAATATGTTATGCGTACCTGTCCTTGGCGAACTCCGGTTGCATGTCCTGGTCTTTGGGGTGGAAGAACTGGATGAGGTCTGTAGACTGAGAGACCCGCGGGTCGCAGCTCAGAAGCTCATTACAATATTTCTGCAAGAACTTGAGTTGCTGCAGTGACTTAGTGGGGCCCTTCCTCGGGCCGCTCCGCCTCGCCCTTTTGTCTAAAATAGGACGCAAGAGGTCAGAATCCTGCAGCCCGTGCTCTGCACATTAACTGCACACTGTGATCCACGCAATCTGCGGCTACAGATAACGCACACTCACCTCGAAATGTGGGGATGACTCTGTCGGATTTGTTCAGTTTCCTTGCGGATGGGAACGCTTTCTTCATTCGTTTCTGCAATAAAGAAGTACATGTAACAGAACTCTTATTAAAAACAACAATCAAGACATAAGCGTATTTTACAGGCTACTTACGTGCATTTTCTTGAAATCCTCCAAAGTTCTATAAACTACAATATCGCTCTGATCTGACCAAAGCACGGAAACCATGTACATCTGGAAGAGGAGAATGCAGATTTTAACAAGCAGCGTAAAAAAAAGGAGAAAAAGAAAGGGAATAAACTCACTTTGCTCCTCTCCTTGTGCATTACCCCAATTACACGGACACTGAGGGGATACCGCTGGGCCTCCATGATGAAACGAAAGAGAAAGAGAGAGAGTGAAAAGTCCAGCTGTGAGCTGCAAAAGGAGCCTGTCGTCCTCGGTCTGGTTTGGGAGTGAAGCAGAGATGCTCAGCAGGTGCAATTTATGTTCCATCCACCGGCGCAGATGTGGCTGCGAGTCACAAGACGACCAGAGGTGGAAATATCCTCGTCACCTGAGGGAAGTCCGGAAACCGCAGCTGTGTGGCTTTGTAACACAACTGGCAACATGATAGGCTACTCTGATGCGGGGGGCAGAGCAGGTGTATTTAGAGCAGGACAGAAGCAGGTGCTCTTCTTAATGAAAGATGATGACAGCTTAGTTGCGTCAAACAGACAGGATCCCCTCTAGTAATGGTGCATCATTTTCCTCACACTGTCCCGGCCACACCTGTCAGAGCACACCCAAGCGCCACAGGGACATGATTCAATTAATTATTAAAATTGTTTGTAATTACTTATTTAGCTCTCATCCTTTTCTTTTATTCGGGCCTATCATGTCAGAAAAGGTATTCACATTATTACATTATTGTGCATGTTTCTGTTGACTTTTTTGTAATTTTTCTTTAAATCAGAATCAGGTTTACAGGTACATTTTCACATAAGAGGGATCTGTGAAGGCTCAACAGTAGCCTACACATAAACATAAATATAGAAATAAAAAATAAGATGTAAAACAGCATTTAATAGACAATTAGAAGGAAAAAAGGAGCAGAATCAAATGAAGTAGACACAAGACAGTAGATAGGCTATGACAAAAGAATAAATATTTTATGAAGAATACCCACAAACTGGGCTTCCCCTACAGTCTTAAAGAAAAGGAGGAGGAAAATTGCCCCCTTCACTCAAGTGCTTGGAATTGTATGTTTTTGTACCATTATATGCCACACCATTAATTATGCCACACCAATGAGAGCATTGTTTTTCTTTCTATTTCTAAGTATAAGATATGAATTGTCTTTCTAATGAGGCTGATCCCTAAACTGCACTCATCCCCATCATCCTCACCAGCCAATTGAAGTGCAACCAAACAATGTGGTTCATTTCATTTCATTACACACTCACACACACACACACACACACACGTAGTCATGTAGCCTATACATCACTTCAGATGACATTACATTGACATACATCTTTTGTTCTTAAAACGAAGGTGAGTTTCCACAATTCCACTGTGTAAACAGATTGATGTCCCCACAACATGAATAATACACACAATGTAAGAATGTCCTCTTGTTCCTTGTTTGTATATGCTTCTGTATCTGATCTTTTTTGTAAAAAATAGCCTACTTATTTATATGCTGTACATTGTATAGATTGAGCCTGTGGTGATAATGATGATTTAATAAAAGTTGTTAATGACCTCATTGTGGATTCTTAAAATGTATTTAAATCTTTTAATATTAGAATAGTCCTATACACAAATTGTATTAGTATCCTTTGGTACGGTGTTTCTTCCACTATTTAAAGACAATGTGCATAAAATATATCACCAATAATCAGCTGTAATGATTGTTAATATACAGTAAAAAAAAAAAAAAGCACCAGTGGTAGATAAAGTAGCATTGTTATAGCCAGGCAAGGAAGTTGTTTTCCACATATTTGTCATGTCTTTCCTTTAGAGGTTCATAAAAATAAATGTTTCCTCCTCTCTTCAGCCAGGCCTTTTCAGCTGCAGCACGTATGCCAAACACAAGCCGCATTTACTGAGCAATGACTCATCTCCTGTTTTCCACAGAAGGATATAAAGTAAAGCCACATTACGCGTAAATCATCAGCCCACAGCAAAGAAACTCCCAAAACAAATATTTGTTGTTACCCTGCACATTACTTAGTAAAAGCTGTGAAAAAGCCACATTGTTAATGCAAAACCACCTGTGTTCTCAAAGATCCTACAAGCCCCGATTCAGATCAGTGCTTTCCTTTGTGGGATTTGTGTGCAAATGTAAGGTGGGTTGACCTATATCCCTGATTCACAGCAGCAAAAACTAATTTTTTAGTTGAATATTTATCACCTCCTACACAATCTCAGAGACAAACACTACCTATTAACTGTTTTGAGCTTCTCTCCCTGGCATGTGTTTGGAAGAGAAAAGGACTTGAGCCATTCCATGGTCCACTACTGACATCTAGTGCTTGCTGCTGTGATCTTTGTGGCGTGAACTCTTGCACATGTTGTTTCACTCAACTTTGCTGGGCTGCCCTAGTAGCCTAAAGGTTAATGGACCTTGTTGCAGCTCGCACCCTCCTCTCTCTCCCTCTCCACAGGGTAATGTCTCTTTTTATTAAAAGGCAAAAGTGCCTAAAAAAACAAAATAATGTCAAGAATATACAACTGTGTAAGAAATTGTTCACTCTTTATTTCTCCTCACACAATGCACTCACAGCAGACTTATCACACATCATCTTATTTAAACTGACCTTTTACCCCCACATAAACATGTTTCTTACATTGCACATTTTCTTCTCTTCTCCGTTATATGAGTAATTAAAATTAAAAAGGAAATTATCTTAGAGTCATTTGGATTGTAACATCTCCAATCCACAAAAAAAAAAAAAAGATAGTTCCAACAGTATTCCCACAACTTGCCATGCTGCAGGCAACGAAGCTGGCTGAAGTCTATAAGCAACAGAGGAGAGGCAGAAGGAGTACATGCAATCGGCACATAACTATTATATCAACCCTTTCATTCATTCTTTGCGCAGTTTCTGACAAATACACAAATATACTTTCAAGCTTTTGTTTAAATATAACATTACAAACCTAATCATTGGTCTTTTAAAAAAGGGGAGCTTCACAAACATTTAAAATCGTTAGGCAGCAGGTTTTTCCCCTACCGCATCTTTCTCCATCATCCTTTCCTACTTTAGACTCTTCTCCCACGAGCCAAAAAAGGTGCTTTTATACATAATGTTCCACTGAGGACAGAACAGCATTATGCATTGTAGATAAAGCATGTTGTGTGACGCTTTTTATGTTATGTCCAACTGTTGTGCCTTTCTTATAAAGGTTATGACAAAAAAATGCAGTAAAAATAAACTCATTCAGCCATATTCAAACTAAAATTCAAATTAAAGAAAACTTATACTGTATCCACAGACTAGATTTAAGATCAACATTCAAAATCACTGCATTGCTTTTGCTGCATTTCTCCAGCCATTCAAACTCCTCGTGTACCCTAAAATCTCTGTTCTTCTTCTACTGTTTGTCGACGCCTCTTACGTGACTGAAATTCTGGAAAAGTCTTTACATTTTTAAAACTGATTTGGAATGTACAGTCACATATCTGAACTTCAAATACCTGGTTACTGTAATTAAATAAATCTAGTTACTTTTTCCTCCAAGTCTTATTCTTCTTGCGAAAAACCTTATTCCACACAAGGTCAGTCTTGATTTAAAAAAAATAAATAAATCACTCTGGAAGATAATCACTCTGAAATAAATATAAGTAAATCCTACCCATTAGTGACCTTTGGCTTGCATAGAGACATTTTTGATTAGAAGCTATTTGCAGACTTTTTGTTGAAGAAGATTCTCTGAAAAAGCAGCAGCTTGGAAATGATTGGATATTAAAGGACTTGTTCGGACTTCAATATCGCTGTAATCCTAACTCCGCCAATTCCCACACTCCGATGTTGGCTTTCAGTTATTGAATACATACTGCCCAAACATGCCCTCCCTGAGCATCAAACCATAACTTACAGTCTCACAGACCTTGCATAAAAAGTAGATCGCTGCTCGTCATTGCTTATTTTGCAACCTTTCAGCAATAACCCCATCGTCATCATCATCATCCATATATTTAAGGTAAGAGAAATAAATTAAGCTTTACTGAACAAACCCCCTTTTCTTTTGAAGCACTTAACTTAAAAGCAATTATGTTTCATGTCTCCACTAAGGCAAAACAGAAATCTATTTTGATGTCCCCCAACTACATGAAGACAGATCGTATGGGAGCACAAAGAAATTACACCAAAAATAACCCAACAAATTAAAATAAAAAATGAAATCCGAGGCAAACATCAGTCCTGCAGTAACTGTAAGAACTGCCCATCTGTCGTTGATCATTTGTCTTCCTTTCAACTCTCCTTCTGTCTCCATGCCTTCTTTCTTTCTTTCGGTCCTCCAGAAGAGTGTCTGACCACATGTTTATTTCCCTGCAGCGAGGAAAACTGGTCCAGCTCCAGTCTTGGCACTAAAGGGCTCTTTCTGTCGTTCCCGTCCTATTTAACCGCAGGGCAGTATGGACAGTCCCCTCCCTTGACTCAATCCTCGTGTGCGTGTCTGTTTGTCACCGAAATTCATAAATGGGCACACTGTGCTCTCGAACATGGTTTAGGTTTAGAGACTGGTACCTGCAGATGTTAGGTAGAAAAGTAAACTGAGACTAATAATCTGCATAAATAAACAGGTTCTAATTTGGCAAAAGAGACTGACATTTATTTTTTTTAAATCATTGATTCTGGTTTTGTAATGCTGGTAGTTACCATTCTGAGCTCCTATGGTAATAGTACCCCTCGATAGTGGCTGTGGACTTCTGGAAGCAGATGTAATAGAAGCCAGCGAAGGAGGCACCGCTAATGTCTTTGATAGTGTGGTCTGGAACTAGAAACTGCTCCTGAGTGCACAGGAAAACAAGAAGAGTGGAGGTTAGATCTTAAAGCTTACATGAGGAGAGAGATGAGGGGTGAACAGTAAGATTATATACTAACCTTCCACCTCATAAAGACATAATCACTGTTGTCCAGCGCTTCATAGTCAAAGTCATCCGAGTTGAAGTTTTTGGCATATTTGTAAAAAGGCTTAAACTTGCCCTGGAAAGAATTAAACATACCGGTAAGAGAACAGAAACTAGGAAGTGACAACAAGACAATGATTGCAACTATAGATGCAAAGTCTAATTTCCTTAACTGAAAGTCACGTAAATTATTATTATTAATTACATGCTTATATAATAAAGAGATGCCCATTGTTCTTTGAAATAAAGTTCAATCAGGAAGTAGCCAAAAAAAAAAAAATCAAAAAGACTTAACATAACATAGCACAATTTACAAGCTTTTCGGGGAGACATGAGCATACGTATCAGCGAATTAGCTAGACGAAGAGCCACAGGTGCTTACTGAAGTTTGAGTGAACCTCCAACATGTCTCATCAAAGTAAGCAGTAACTTTTACTGTGCCTTTCCCATCATATAGAAAGCTACTCACAAACTGTACAATCATTTGACGCAGGCCCAATGAATGCACCATATTTGTGCACTGTTAGTTAATATACTTTATATATTTATAGAGCTAAATTCAAAAACACAAAACATACCCAGTGCTTTCTGTCCACATCTTCATCTGCGTCCCACTTCCTTGTTAAAAAAGGCCTTTTTTGACTGATAATTTCTCCAGCAAAGAACGTTGTGAGAGTTGGATACTCCTGGTGCACAGAGAAAACGAGAAAAGGAAACAAAAAGTGGACGCGTGAATGGCGGCTCAACCTTCCCAAGTGCATGCCTGCAAATTATATTTGTTTTAAAATGTGTAGAAGGGTACAGCTCTGTCAATCCATCGCTGTGCAACATAAGGATGATATAGATTTCCAGAATGTCCTGTGACTTATATATTGTGCAGCAGGCTATGAACTATACATCAGCAGTTGACTTACTGCCCTGTGCATAGGTTTTTGCAGTAAGCAGATGCACTCAGACACACGCTTAAATAACAGAAATGTGAGCAAATATCTGATTGTACTCTTGGCTTAATTTTCTCATAAACAACTTGCCAATTTAAATGGTTTGTTACTTCTACAGAGACACACCCTTGCTTTCACTCCACTCTGTCACAGCCAAAAGTTCACTTCAGGATCCTGCTGGCCTCTTCCCTTCCACATATTGCGTAATGTAATGTATTGTATAGAGATGACACACTTAAGCTAAGAACTAGAGTCTAGACCTGAAAGAAGAGGATCAACCTAATGGCCTCACATTTGTCTTCCTCTAATCTTTGTCACAACCTGCATCGAGCAAGAGGAAACCAGTTTCCACTCGATTAAACGTGGAAACCAGTGTGTGCTTAGTCTTTGAACGTCAGTTTTATTACATCTGACCTAGTTTCTACTGCTTACCTCAGTAAGGCCTTTGATCTTCAGGTATCCACACAAATATGAGTCCTCCGCAGTCACATGCTGCCCAAGACAAAAAGATTAAGGATGACACATAATTATGTATGTCAGGTGGCTTGATATCACAGGCACAGGTACGTGTTCTCCTTCTTCTTTATGATGTAAAAGACTGTAGGAGGGGTGTTGTGAACTGAGACAAACCTTATAAAGTAGCAATGTAGGCAGGTATTATAGTTTCTGTTCGTATGTCTGCTGACAGTGCTTTCAAATGTCAACGCTAGTATAAGGTGATCAGATTTCTGAAATGAAATCGGGGACATTTTTGGTTTGGTGGTCAGTATGTCATTAAAAAATGTAATGTTATTATATATTAAATAAAAAAGGGAGACAATTTTGGTTTTATAATTTGTCAAATATAACTCTTCTGAAAATCATTTTGAAGCAGAAACTACCTTTCAGTCAATAAGTAGAGGCTGCAGTCACTTCCTGGCAAGTAGAAAATTGCATTGCATTTTGTGTGTTGTTTTGGCTTTTACAAAGGTATTTAAGAGGTAAAATGTACTAGGTGAGTTATAATCTGTCAAATATAAATTCTGAATGAAATCAATTTTAATGAATTATTATTATTATAATTATACATTCCCTTTTCCAAATATAATCAAGGATAAGCATTCCGTTAAAAGAAACGTTAAAGTTTCACAAAGACATACTTTTGCTATTACCAAGGACATAAAGTGATGTTTATTTACACGTTATGTCTGTTTGACATGAGGTCAGCGTGTTACTATTACTGGAAACCATCAAAAACAAAATCTTAATGAGCTACGTCAGCTAAGTTAGCAGCTACAGCTACACATAGGCTGACTTTGCATATTAACAATAAACAAACTAATGGTAAAACCAAACATGTCAACAACACATTACCTGCAAAACAACTTCAACGTCGTAAGAGTTGCCTTTGCTCTTCTGATAACCACGAAACTGTGAGCCGCTGTACAGCAGCGACGTGGCCACCCCCGGCTGGTTGGTGTTGATCGGGGCAGGGGGAACAAGCGAGGCCGAGGATGGGCAGGCCGGGCCAGTGGCACTGCAGCACTCTGCTCGGACAGGCATGATGAGCGCAGATGTGTCACCGTCAGCAACCGTCATTAACTTTCTGACTGAGCAAACCACAGCTGGACAGAGAACTGATAACTTCCTGACAATGAGGAGGGTCTGCCAGCTGTACAAAACCCCCGTGATCCAAAAACTTTCCTCAATTTTTCAGGCTAGCCCACAGACTTGCCACTGAGGAGGGACACTGCAACGTCTCATTAGAGAATCCAGCTTCCCTGAATTTCATTGGCTGTGAACTGCTGCTCGGCTTGAGCAAGAGTCTTATTGGATAATATGCCCCAATGCACTTTGGGAGTTGTATTCTATTTAGTACTAAAATCAGAATCAACTTTATTGCAAAGTAACACTAACATACACACTATGAACAAAACAATATAGATATATTGACAAATAGTGCAGTGATCAGAGTGCAAAGGATGCAAGAGAAAACTATTATTCTCATTATGTACATGTTGAAGGTGGATATGATATACAGGTACACATACACATACATGTACACAGTGTGATGGAACATAGTGCAATGGATGCTGGAGAAAATAAAGACCTATGACCTTATGACCTGAGGTAGGTATATTGGTATACAGTATATACAATATGACATATTATGAACAGCACTGAAATAGAGAATGGTGAATAAATAAATAATAAGTGGAAACCAGTAAACAGGTGCTGATTAGAGACAGAGTTACTGGGTTATTGCACAGGAATTGTTCCTGACACCGTGAGTCAGAAATCAGCTGTTCATCAGAGTGATGGCTTGTGGGAAGAAACTGCTTCTGTGTCTGTTGGTTTTGGCGTACAGTGCTCTGTAGCGCCTACCAGAGGGGAGGAGCTGGAACAGTTGTGTCCAGGGTGAGATGGATCTGCAGTGATGTTTCCTGCACGTTTCCTGACTCTGGAAATGTAGAAGTCCTGAATGGAGGGCAGGTTGGCACAGATGATTGTTTCTGCAGTCCTGACTGTCCGTTGTAGTCTGTCCCTGTCCTTTTTGGTGGCAGATCCAAACCAGACAGTGATGGAGGTGCAGAGAACAGACTGGATGATGGCTGTGTAGAAGTGGATCAGCAGCTCCTTTGGCAGGTTGAGCTTCCTGAGCTGAGTTGGATATGATATACAGGTACACATACACATACACATACATGCATACATGTACACATGTACACAGTGTGATGGAGCATAGTGCAAAGGATGCTGGAAAAAATAAATAAGACCTATGACCTTATGACCTGAGGTAGGTGTATTGGTATACAGTATATACAATATGATATAGTATGAAATAATAAGTGGTAACCAGTAAACAGGTGGCTGAGGTGTTGCAGGATGTGATGCAGCCTCAAAAACACTCCAGTCAGTGCAGTCAAAGCAGGCCTGTAACTCCAGCTTTGACTTGTTGGTCCATCTTTTCACAGACTTTACAACAGGTTTAGCAGATTCCAGTTTTTGCCTGTGTGTCGGGATAAGATGAACCAGTTTATGAGCTCCCTTTCACGGTCCGCGAGGATGAGATTAAATCCCGGCAGGTGAAGTGCGCTGTCCGGGATGCGCTCGGTGAGCCAGGATTCGGTGAAACCGAGGGCAGCAGATCTGCAGAAGTCCGAGTTAGTTCTGTTGAGGAGAAGCAGTTTGTCCATTTTGTTGGCCAGAGAGCGAACATTCGCCAGGTGAATTGAAGGGAGCGCAGTGCGAAATCCCCCCTGTCTCAGCTTAAACAGCGCGCCGGCACGTTTTCCCCTGCGCCGTTTCCGAAGGATCCCAAACAGAGCTGCCGCTCCTCCAACTAGTAACTCCAATGTTTAAGACTCTTCTCTGGTAAAAGTTACAAGAGAGGGACAATATATACTACATTTAACAGACCAAAACCAGGCCTAACATTTTATTCTTATAGCCTATATATATATATAGCTATAGTAGCAATAGTATGTCAGTTTTGTGCTTTTTTAAGTATAATTATGTTACATATTTCTAAAAACAAAAAAGACACACAGTGGACACAATTGTCTTCATTGTCAGATGACTTGCATATATGTTTAATTTTATATTTTGATATCTGGACAGTAATTTGCTTATTTTATTGTTTCAGTTCTAAATGTGTTAATTAAAATATAGGTGCATACATTTGTTTGTAGTATATATTTCTTGTATATATATATTTTTTTCTTTTCTGATTCTGGTCTACACTGTTGATTTCTGATGAAAAATATAATAGAGACAATGCAGTAAGCAGTAGCTTATTCTTTTTTTTAGTTTAAGTTACTTTTTTGGACAACACAGTTTTCTTCTATAGGTTAGTGTCATTATAGAAAATTACCCAGTGGGCCGCTGTCCATGCTTTATGGGCTGGTCGTTGGCTCATTTAAAAAAAACAGCTATATAAATACATAATTTAGGTTACACCATTACCACTCCAGCCTTGGTGTACACCACACATCTCATGCACTTGTATTTGGTTGGCTGGGGAACAAGTGACAACACTGAAACAGTATACTGACTGAAGTGTCCTTTTCTTCCTAAAAATAGGCCGTAAAAAATAACTGAACAGGTGGAATTATTTCTTAAATATTTTATTGCGTTATGTTTTATAACAAATACAGAAATGATAAAACAACAGTGAAATTGGCTACAGTTGTACATTCAGGTTGTGAAAATGTCCTGTTCCATTACATAAACAAATGTTTGTGGGGAAATGTTTTACTGCTGAAGCTACTGCAACTCCTCCAGCTGCTCCCTCAAATGGTCCACGTATCTGTGGATGTCTGAGATGCGCATGCGGTTCCGCTTAAGTTCTTTGTCGTGAATCTGTAATAACCCATGAAGACGAAAAGCAAACAATAACAAGACTGTGAGACACGGAGGAAGGTTTGCCATCTATAAAAATATCAATTGGGGTGTTTGTTTTCATGTCATTTCAGCTCCCTACCCCTTTAATGAGGGCCACTTTCCAGGCATTGACACGTGTAACGAGCTGAGTCTCTCGGCCATTGATCTGCAGCAGGTGGTTATCGTGACCGGTGGTCAGTGCAGACATCACTGTGTCTCTGTCGGTAAACAGCTACACAGGGAAAACACAGGTGTGAAAGGCTGAGGTCACTCACACGGGTAATGAACAATGCCTTCGCCTCAGCATTCACATTAGACCACTATTATTCTGTTGTATCTACAATTATAAACATACTTCTTTACATATTGATGCTAAAATGAGTAATTGACTTTATTTTAAAGGTAATGAAATAACCCACATTCTACACAGTCCTCTTCAGTTATCTCTGAGATTAAACAGCAGAACCGAGAGAAACGTCCTGGCGACATTCTCATTAGGCTATAACTGTCCCAGTAACGTAATCCTAAAAGGGATGACACTCACCATTTTAATATCATCTGGCATGTCCTCCTCCAGGCTCTCCTTGGCTACTTTCTCCAGAGTGGCTTCAGCAATCGCACACACCTTCTCATGATACTTGTCCTCCAGATCTCGACATTGGGTAAATGTATGACCATGTCATGGAACATCTAAATTAAACAATCACTAATTTTGCACCCAAACACTTTGTGTGCCATTGTGTATGATTCAAACACTGACATTTAATTAAGGCTCAATTACTGAACGCACAATGCGAGGAACTGCAACTGGGACCCAGATTTTATATGTAGTATGAGCTGAGTGTCTCAATAGTGGGGACAAGAGCCCGAGAGCACTAATGAACCAGTGTCATTGGAAATTAATCCAATGAGAGAAGTGAGAAAGGATATATTCCTTGAACAGTTTCACTGAAGTTGCCGACCATGTCCGAGATTGTGATGTCAAACTTCTCGAGGATATCCTGAAATGAACAGGAGGTGAACATAATGAGTAAATCTGAAACAAAGGCACAGTAGAGAGGCATGCAGTTTTTGTGGGTATTAAGTAAATTATTGTATATTTATCTCGAGAATAATCTATATTTAACACAATTTCTATTATTGAGTCAATGACACACAATGTTTTTCTGAATAAACTTAAACCAGATTTGGAAATCATGTATTCACAGAGTACAGAAGGTGTACACATACAAGCACACGCACAGACACACCTACCTCCAGCAGGCTGACCAGCTGAAACTCCAGTGTCATGAGGCTGTTACAGAGTTGGTTGATTTCATCATTACAGTGGTTGATCTTGACCTTCAGTAGGTCTGGGTCTGATAACTGCTTAAACTCCATCATCCTCTAGAGCGGTGTGAATGCAAGACATATTAATAGTCTGCTGCAGTATACTAATACCAGGTTTACTGAGTTGACTATATAAGTTTGTATAACCGTTTTTCACCTTATTGTGTTGCTGCTCAAAATTTGCCAACGTTTGCAATGCTTTCTGCTGGTAGTCTGTCACAGCTTGAGTCTGACCTATGAAGAAGGAGTTCACCTCTGTCTCTCTTCGCTTATGTTCAGCCAAGCCCATTTCAAATAACTGCGTGCACAGCTCCACCGTTTGGTGCTCAAATGTAAGTGCAGGGTTAAGGAATTCATGTAATGATTTCCCCAGATTATATGTCATAATGAACACACCTGCATGGATAAGAAAGCCAAGACAACAAAGGATATGTTTGAAGCAAATGAGCCACCCCAGGAACCAGGTGTAATTTATCTGCCTCTGGATCATCTTTGAACATGCTCTTAAACAGACAAGGCCCATTCAGGAACTCCACAAAGGCATCCTGTAGGAAAGTAGAATTGAACTTAAGTATGTACACAAATGTCAAGAGCTCAGTGGAAATGAACTGCATCACCAAATGTGAACTTTATATTACTGTGTGTAATTTGAGTCCAGCTTTCTGGCTTTGCTCAGCGTGATCATCTTGTTGCATCTGCAGCTCCTCATGTCTCATCTCCTCAAGGACATAGTGGTATTTGATAGATGCTTCATTTTTCTGCACATAAACACATCATTTATTATTAACAAGCAAATCAGAAACTTCCAAACAAAAGCTGGCAAAGTCATCAAATTATCTACAATAAAAATAGCTTAATGGAAGAATACCTTATACTTACTGTTTTCTGGTCAAGTAATCTGTAGTCCAGGCACATCAATGTCGGAAAGTATCCTGCGATGAAAATTTTGTAATCGTTTTCCTTAGACACAGGATTTCCAAATAGGTTGAGGGTGAACAGGTTCTTAAACTTCCTGAGATAGAGCACCTTTGAAATGGATTCATTTTTGCATTAGGTTATGTAAACATTCTGTAATGCTATATTCTGAAACATAGTAGCCTACTTGAAATACAAATGCAGTATGTTACTTATAAATGTATGACAGATTAATGCAAGCAAGTTACGTTGTCCAACTGTCCAAGGAGGTTGTTTGCAATGCAGAAATGAGTGAGTTTCTCAAGCCCGTCCATTTTTTCAATGACAGAGATTCTGTTGTTGGACAAATTCAGCACTTCAAGCTTCCGCAGAGACTCCAGACCCTCAATTTTCTCTATTCTGTTGAATGACAGATCTAAAGGATACATTCAGAATCATTAGCACTGCTAGTTATTGGGTGTTTTTATTTTATTTTGTCTATATATTTGCCAAAACTTGCACATTTATGACAAGAAAGTGTTGCAGGATATAAATATAAAGGCTTCATCTTACTAAGCCACTTCAGATTGCCCAGACGCTCCAGGCCCTCAATCTTCTCTATGAGATTGTTGTTCATATCAAGCCTGGCCAAGGACGTGAATTCCCATAAGTGGTCAATCATCAGGATATCTGCGAACAAACAACCTCTCACATACCTAAACCCAATATACATTCATACACTGATTATAAATCTTTTTATTTTTCTCACTTCTGTAGTCCAGACGAAGTTTAAGGATTTCATGAAAGTGGATTCCATCTGCCACAGCAAGGCGCCCACTCTGATCTTGAGTGACTTGCTCCTCTACTGCCTTCTGCAGAATCTCCTCATCCATCAAAATGGCCTTAACTTTACCACAATGATCGTCCATCCTGCTGTCAGTGGGCGTTGGAGGCACACTTTACTTTACTTTACCTGCTGCTCAAAGAAGAAAGTTGATTATTTTTTTTTATTTGGAGCTTGTTTTGTTCTGATAAAAATTATGAGAAGAAAAAAAATGAAATGAATGATGGTGTAGCTAACGTTAGGTTTCCATCCTTCATTAGCTTGCTAAAACGAATGAATGAATGGGCCTACCAGACAAACATTATACAAAATTAAGTACCTACCAACGACAATCGCAAAATTTAGCTAGTTGTTGTTTTCCCAATGCAAAATACTTAAACAAACAAACAATATAAGCAGTTTAGTAGTAAGTAAGCAAGTTCTTACCTAACCTCTTACCTCTGTTGTTTACATTCTGTTACCTAGCAACTAGCAACCCTTAAGCTGCGTTCAAGCTCGTTCAAATGATTCTGTTAAAATAAATGTTAAACTTCAAATTTTACTTGCTTGACCTACAAAAATCAATAAACCGTTAGGTATGATGACATTAAAATTTCGCGCACAGTTGTTTTATTTTGGCTACAAAAAATATTTTCAAAAGTCCAATGTTCTATATTCAGTTCATTTTATATCGTTGTTTGTCTATTTCCGTGCATGTATCAAGTAAACTACATGTATATACATATGGTTTAAATTGTATAAATATGTTTGTTGAACATAGCTTCATTTGCTAAATATGACCGACATTGATTCCAGCCATACGTCGTGAAGGTTCTGGTTTTTTGCACCAATAGTATTAATCTGTGGGCGGGACTTGGTGGTACCGCCTCTGGGCCACAGCCTCAGTCATTCCCGAGCGGATTGTTTGTTGTCAAAATGGAGTTCTTACTTGGCAATCCGTACAGCACTCCTGTGGGCCAATGTATAGGTACGTTAGCCTTAAAAATTATTCATCAGAGATGTGATACTTCCTCCACAATACATAATTTGAGCATGGACAAGCATTTTGATGTTTTCCGCCAGGGTTTACTGAGGTCGCGCCAGTGGAAATAGCCAGCTAGCAAGCATCATCGCAACAAACGTCATCTGTTAACGTTACTTGCAGTGAGCTTTCAGCTAATGTTAGCCAGCTAACCTTCCTAACTTAGTCCGCTGTAATTACTTGTACATAATACGTCAAATCACTGCATTTGTGTAGACAAGACACATACAGTTTTCAAGAAAGGAAGTTAAATGAGAGGGAATGCTATGGGCCGTGTCCATAGCCAAGCTGAAGTTCAGTATTTCCTTAGTTTTCATGAACAATAGTTGGTCAGCCTAGCTGGTTTTAGATTTAAATCTCAAGCATCTATTCTCTGGTGCTTATTTGTCCTGCAGAGGAGAAGGGAGACGTGGCCTATTACCACATCCCTTTTGTGTGGTTGCATCTTTCTTTGCGTCTTGCCCGGTTGTTTGCAAACATGCTCAGAGATGAAAAACCTCTAACCCAACCAAGGCTTTGCTGTGCCTTTCTCATGAGAGAATAACACACATGATAAGAATAGATTTTCTGTAAGATCTGTTACTTGAAATGCTTTTGTTTATTAAGATCATGTAAAAGTGTAGTCGGGGTGCAACAATGTAAAGTCCCCCATTTGTGATTGTCTGCATATCACCCACCCAAGCTGTAACAGTAACACCATTACTGTTCTGTTCCTTTTAATAGAGAGACCACCTTCTTTGATTCTGCTAGCTAATAATCTCCTACCTTGACATGACTAATATCATTTTCCCTTTTTATTTATAAACAGTTTATAATTCATTTTGAATGCAAGTGTTTACAAAGTTGTGTAAACAATCCTAAAGATTTTAAGCAGCATTTCCTGTTTGTTTGAGTTAAGCCCCTGCCAAACAGATGCAGGCCAAACATTAATTTCTCACAATTTTGTGTTTACCTTTAGGCCTAAGTAAATGAAGCAGCTGTCACAGAAGCATTTGTTGATTACATATGTCTGTGAGTAAAGTACACTAAGCTGGTATTTTTAAAATAAGCACCTGCCTGTGTATACAATCTATGGTGTAGCTCTCATACTTTTTAACTACTTTGAAAGTAGATAACCCCACAGTGCTTAATCAAGCTCCTCATTGCGCTGGGTAGAAATATACTGGAGGAAAGACATCTATAGGAGTTAGGGGGCTTTTGAATTGTCCTCTGGCCAGAGTGAATGTTTCCCACCACCCACTGGTCAACTGCTATGTGCCGTGTCATCCAAGACTACCCTCAGACACTAACTGTGAGCATCCTCTCAAGCATTTTACGTTACATTGGTCCTTCTAGTTTATGCATCTTGGCACATCTTGGATTTTCCAATTTCACAGAGATGGCTGCGTCTTCTGCCTGGTTTCTCTGTTGTGAGTGACTGCACTGTGCAGAGTTGTACAGCCGGCTGTCAGTTTGGCTGCTGCAGTGTTACAGTACTCCACAGCAGCCAGGCGAAGGATCAGCTTACCTGAACCAATGAGAGAGAGAGAGAGATATATCGACAGAGGAGACAGATAACATCTGTTGAGGGACCCATTGTGAAGAACTTCAAGGAGCTTTTTCATTTCCAAAGTGACTGTGAGGTGGTGAATGATGTGTGCAGGTGTTTACTATGTGTGCATTTCCTTTTGTTGTCATTTTTCATGAGGTGAAATTCAAGCCTTGGTTCTTTTGTATGTTTTGTTTCTTTCTGTTCTTCATGCTGTAGCTTCATGGTCAAGGCATGTTGCCTGCTTTTCTCCATTGCTTTTCCTCTTTTTTCTAAAAGTGAACATATTGGTGAGAGGCTATCAGTACAGTTAGCTGAAGCAACCAATACAATTGCACCAATGATAAATGTGGAAAATACATTAAAGGGATTAAATTGGATCCCTTTAGTGTATGTTCCCTTTGTAGGTAGGCCTATATGTCAGTTTGCCATGCCATCTTTTTTATATAACTCTAGTATCCGCTGACTTATCTTTTGCAGAATTTCTTCCGTTATTTGACCAGACAGCAGTCCTCTGAATGCTGTGCTAAAGAGTCCTGTACTTACCAGAATTTGCTGGAATTTCTGCTGTTGCTATCCAGAAGAGTAAGCAAATAGAATAAAGACAAAAGATAAGGAAAAGTAGAAAATGTGTGGTGAAAGGACGAGTCTTAAAACGTGGAGAGATGGCGCCGGCGAGGGCCAGAGATGTTTGGCTTTGTTGGCAGTGCGTGGCACAGCCTGCCGCCGTTAAAGCCATGTGATGGACTGCCTTCACTGGTGTGGTGTCGATTTCCCAGGACATGGGGGGGGATTGACACAACACCATGAATGAATGCACTCAGCAGGCATTTAACTTGATTAGCAAGGCTCTAAATGTCCAGTGTCATTGTAGGTCATTTCACATTGAGAGATCAGATTTTCTTTTCTCTTTTCTTTCCTCCTCTGCAACCTGTGCTCTGCCCAGCGTTGACCTGAAAATCCACTTGAAGAGATTACATGGGATGTCCCAGCAGAAGTAGCTGGTTAAGTCTTGAATGGTCTTTGGTTGGTCTAAGTCTTTGGTTAAGTCCAAATGAATGCTTCATATGCTGTGCAGCCTAACACAGAGCCACAGAGCAGTGTTTTTAAATGCTGCTCATGTTGAAATTCACTTTATGTCTCTGTTGTGTGTAGATAAGTGTGTTTAAGATGCCTGTCTCTCACTGCTTGCCCAGTCTCTGACAACTAAGTTTAGGGGAGGGAGAGCATGAATAAGTCATGGCTGTCAGGCTTGTCCAACACTGAGTTTCCCAAAAGGAAGGTAACACGGCCCAGTGAGAGGCTCATGGCCTGGGCATGACAGCCTGCTCAGGTCCTCTGCGCTTCAGGGAGAGAAGCTCCTCCTGTCCAAGCTCGAGAACCGTCTAATGAGAATCTATTGAGTGTCAGTCACAGCTCACTTCAGTAGTTTAAAAACTTTTTTTTTGTTTCACTGTGAATCTTGCCCCAAATGACTATGATGCTGAAAGATATCAGCATCCACAGATGTGATGGATGGATTCTGGGGGGGACGGGAGAGGAAGGACGAGGCGGAGAGAGGTATGCGGTGATGACTGCAAAGACAGTTCATCACTGTAGCGTCTCACAGTTTGGATCACATAATTTCCTGGCTGTAGGCGAAACTCTATTAAATGGTAGGGTGGAGTGTGAAGGGGAAAGCAGGTCTCAGCTCAGAGTCTACAGCTGCATCACACCCACCACCAGCTTCACTTTCCTCTGAGATGTTCGCTTTTGTCTTTCCAGCTGATTGTTTTAGTTAATTTAGCAGAGTGGGAGGGAGGCATCGGAGCAACAGGTGGTGGATCATATTTTCTAGCATGTGAGAGGTTTTTGTGCATGTGTGATAACAATGTTGCCAAAACTAATAGGACTGAAGAAGTTTATTTGAATAGCACATTTCAACAACAAGGTAATTCAAAGTGCTTTACATAAAACATAAAAGCAACAGGGAAATATAAAAAAGTTTAAAAGCAACATAGGGAAATTGAAATTGAATTAAAAAATAATAAAAGTTACAGTGCAGTGTACAATCAGGGTTCAAAGAGTTAAATGGAAAATAAAAACAGGCTGAGGGGTTGAGCAAATAATTGAGTTACAATTATTTTGAAAAGAGAATAAACAGAGAAGTACACTTAATCTACTCTCTCTAGCTAGCCTGTACTCGGGTACATAGCAATCTTTGGGTCCACTGAAACTCCAAAAACCCTCGGACACTACAGAGAAACCAGGACATGTCTGTTCGCAGGCCGCTTGAATCCAGTTATACTCTGGACCCACTTGCGCGTTTACAGGTGGACAGTAGTCTGATCTTTCTCCTGATCCTAGACCCAAGACTTCATCCCAACCCTTCTAAAAGATTAGTTTCCTGTTTGGCTGTCAATGGAATTTGCTTGGACGGACTGTCCTCCTGAATTTATAATTGCAATAACAAACAGCTGGAGTTGATTTTTCTATAGCTGTTTTAATATCTTATTATTCAGGTTATCATTTTACAAATTTTTACTGTAATTTTGTGAAGTTGTTCTTGACAAAAAATAGTTAAGAAAAAATAGTCAAGAATTTCATTAAAGGCCCTGTTTTGTTAGAGAGTAATGGGATCCTACATGAACACAGTATTAGTAACAATATGTATATGTATTATATATATGTATATAATAATAATACATATTTTTTTATGTTTCTCACACTAGTTAGAAGTGGGCGGGGCTCCAATGATGTCATGTACTTCCATGCACCAGTCAGGATTCAGCTGATGACATGATCTGGTGGTCGCTGTCAATCAAATCTGATCAAACCACACCCACACAGTCATAATGGGGCAGTTTTTGTGTGTTAAACCCCGAATAAATAATTGAAAAAAATATAATAATAATAGAAAAAATTTACTTCAATCTTTGCTTATTTATTTCAAAATATATAGTATTATATTTTTTCAAGTTTTCAAGGGTTTTAAAGTGTGGATTCATACATCAACTTAGTGAATAAGGTTTTGGCTCATGATTTGTTTTCCATTTGTTATATTACTTGTACACACAAAATACTTGGCTGATGAAGAAGAGACGTTTGAGAGACACAGAGGACTGAAGTGTGTCACCACATGCTGATTGGCTTACGTAACTTTTTACTTTCAATGTTATGTAAACCAATGGTTGCTTTAATTAGTGTGCAACGACTTTAGTGCAGGCGACACCCCGAGCCTGACTAACATCCAGCATCATGCTTACTAGTGAGACAGCTGGCAGGGTGCAATTAGTGGATCAGGCATCAAAACTAAAATTTACTTCAATGCCAGCCAGGGGTGTGCTACATCGTATAATTCACAGTAGTACCAGTATAATTTTTATTATGAGCTCAACAGCTATTGTGAGTTAAAAATACTCTAGTGCCAGCCACCCTCAGATTTGGGTTGTGGTGTTTATACAGATTATGGGTGTAGCCAAGACTTAGTATTCAGATAAAACTAAACTCTCTGTATTGTATATTTCTCTCCACGGTATTGTGAATAAAGTTGGGTCTGTGCACATATTGCTGTAAATTAAATAGAAACCGATGCGACACGACTACACTACACTGAAGACTAAGGATGGGCTCAGGGCTCAACACTTACATTTATTTTTAGGTGCTCAGACAGAATTTAAGGGGAAACAACATTATATGAGTATGAATATTCTGTTGAACTTTGTTTTTTCCTCCAGAGAGGGCCACAGATGGAGGCCTACAGAATGAGGACTGGACCCTCAACATGGAGATCTGCGATATCATAAATGAGACAGACGAGGGGTGAGTTGCTACACCTTCTGGGAGTTAATCATGGGTTATAATATGCTTTATCAGCGTTCTGCAGGATTAGTCAGTACCAATACTTAATGGACGTTTCATTGTTTTGTCACACACTGGCTGACTGAGTGACTCCAACAAATAATACACTTGACTGCTGCGCTTCACCAACAGACACCACACTACAGACGGCCTTTTGTTTTCTTTAGGTGCCACTGGCTGAATGAATGAACGAATGAATGAAATTCTTATGTCAGTCTACTACGTTAAAAGATGCCCAGCCAACTGTGTTTATAAGACACAATGTAGATTCTGATGAGACTTGAATTTCCATTTATTTTACACTTTGTAAGGTTTTCTCGACACCACTGAATTCACTTGTAATTAGGCTTCCTAGAAAAAAAAGTTTTTAGTTTTCTGAGAGTTAGGCACATTCATCATTAAATCGGCTTACATAAATGTAATGGGATCCCAGCCAGTATCTCCTTTTTATGAAAAAGAGTGTTTTTCGGGAAGAAAATTGGAATCTGTCTTTTTCCATTTTTTCCGTCAGCACTTTCCTTTTTTTCTCTTTTCCGCTGCCTTTTCACATTCTTCATGCCTACGCACACTCATTGTCTTGACATGCGACATGGGGCCCTCTATGTCACACTCAAAGACACACACACAGAGGGAGTTCTGCTTCGCAAAACACAGAACGTCTTGTCTGCAAGATGTTCAGAAAATTAAACAATATCTGTTTAGACTTGAGGTTCAGGAAATTCAGCAACTGATAATGTTGCCTTGCAAGACTGTGCTTTCAAGTAGTACGGAAACAATATTTGACAAAACAGATGCTCCATCAAAAACCAACAAAATGCAGCTGTAACACTCAGAAACACACTTAACACACACATGCTGTCGGAGGAAGCATTATATCAGATTTCGCACTCCATCTCCCTCCATTTCTATCTATATCAGAACATAATAAATCTACCGTATCTCATGAAGGAGTTCATAAAAGCTTATGATGCCTCATCTGCAGTGGAGAGACGGGCAGTGTGAGGCAGAAAGCCAAACCTAAACTCTTCATGCATGGACAGCTTTGATCTTGCCTTGGGAGAAACAGAGAGTCACGCAGAGAGAAAATAGAGAGAGAGACAGATGGTGCGACGGTTCTTCTTTGTCTTAGTCAAACAGTTACACTGACAGACTGACTGGCATCTGTTAATGTGGCACAGAAAACCATTTGTTCCAACAAAGTCAAAGATGTTATGCCTACTCTCAGCTGGGGTGCTTCATCCAGCTGTGTTTTCTCTGACGTTTCGCTGCAGGCCAAAAGACGCGATGCGGGCACTGAAGAAGAGACTCAGTGGTAACAAGAACTACAGAGAAGTGATGCTGGCGCTGACGGTGAGAAGTCCTTACTTTTTTTTAAATCATATAAAAATGGCACATATTTTGTGCTGATTTTATTCTCAGGAAGCCGTGTCCAAGCCTCCTTTCAATGTGTAAGCCACATTAAAGGATTGCACGCTGCGTAAAAGTTGACCTCTCCAGATTTTGTGTTCTTTCTTGGTCACTTTCTTCCGTTGTGTCTCTTCTCCCGGCCACTGTCGGGGCTGGTTTTAGCAATGCCTTGTGTTCTATGTTCACCCATTTTTGACAGCTCTGCTGGTTAAAAGCCCCTCTGCGTGATGAAAGCATCCTGACTGAGATCTTGTATGAACACCAGAGAGCAAAGTCCTTCCTTTTCTCAGCTGCCTCAAACACAAGAACTTTCCTGCTCTCCAGTTTGTTTTTATATTTTTAAATATTACAGGCTTACACCTTTGTTTAAATCTGTCTTCCTCTCTGCAGGTATTGGAGACATGTGTGAAGAACTGTGGTCACAGGTTTCATGTCCAGGTGGCCAACAGAGATTTTATCGACGGTGTGTTGGTCAAAGTCATCTCCCCTAAATCCAATCCTCCGACCATCGTACAAGACAAAGTGCTGTCACTCATACAGGTATTGGTGCGTTCTCTGTTAGTGCTGTTTCTGTTCCTGTTCACAAATAAGCCACACTTCCATTGCGAAATTGTGTGATATGTGTACTATTTTATGTTTATTGTGTGTGTGTGTGTGTAGGCATGGGCTGATGCCTTCAGGAGTAGCCCTGATCTAACTGGTGTGGTCCACATTTATGAGGAACTGAAGAGGAAAGGGATTGAGTTCCCAATGGCAGACCTGGACGCACTGTCTCCCATTCACACACCACAGAGGGTGAAAATAAAGACACGCACATACAGTACAAACACATGTGGATGTTCACACAGCAATTTTCCTAAGGTGTTTTTTGTTTCCTCCAGGGTACACCAGAGGTGGACCCGGCCATGATGAAGTACCTAGCCCCCGCATCACCTGCTGTCGGGACTCCTGCACCTTCCCCGACCCCCGACCCTGCCACACAGGTCCCCAACATGCCCAGCCCTATCAAAGCAACCCCTGAACAGGTGAGAGGCATCAACAGCTACCTTTGACTGAACTTTTTGCTGCACCTGTTGCATGTAAAGTGAACTCAGCTTAATTTATCAATACAAACAATTTCCTCCCTTAGACTGTCAATAAAGCTTTTTTATTAAAATAAAGCAGATTTTACTGACATATCATAACTATCTCCTGCTGTCAAGAACATCCGCAGCACTGCCGATTCCAAATAAGCCCTGAATGTTTTTAATAACCTTTTGACCTTGTGTGCTTTCAGATCGCCCGGCTGCGTAGTGAGCTGGACATAGGAGAGGAAACCCAAAGTCATGTCAGAGATGCTGACAGAGATGGTCC